AAAAATGACTGGCTGTCCAAGCATGTGCTGCTATGGCAACAAACCAGTCTTGAATTCCATTCATTTTATTCATCAATCCATCTTTAAAACAAGGATGCCTGTGGAGAATAAGTGCGTTCTGCGTTATAAATACTGTGGCCACTTAAACCAGCGCGGGGCCCAGTGGAAATGATTTGTTGATATGTGGAAACCCAACACGGCCTGCTTCCTTAGTGACCACCACAACGTCTTAGCCCACGCTCTCATCACCAGCGTTGCTCAACTCCCAGAAAAATAACACCAGTCGTTATAGCAGCCGACTTGTTTGTAACCTCCCTGTGGGAACATCTTGGAATGAGGCTCAGGATCTCATAGTTAATTCTTGCGTTGCAAAACACAATCAGGAACACCATGGGGTTAACGTGAAAATGATGAGGTAGTACGTCTGGGACATCAGGCCAGTAGTTGTATTTGAATATACTTTTTATGGTTTGTGTCAGCGTATGTAGGAGCCAGAGGAGTGCGGCTCGCCACAAGAGTATAATGTGTTGTAAGTAAGTTTAGGCAACAACAGGAAAATATTGGTCAGTCCAGGTTTTATGGCATTGTAAAGGGTAAAGGGGTAAATAAACCTAAATAGTCATGATGAGTGGTATGCCTTGCCTCCCTAATTTGTGTTTTCCTAACCCCCATCCAGCACAGACCGACTCAAACAAGCACTCTGCCCTGAATGTCTGTGTTGCTCTCAGGGAGAACGTCATTACAGACACACACACATAAAAAAAGCTGCAGGGGGGAGGGTCCTCAAAAGAGCCTGAGAGCTCCCTCTACTGTCTGGATATGTACGTGCTCCATTCCCACAGCATCCACTCGTCTTTAAGTCTCACCTTGTTGTGTATGACCACCACATTGTGGCTGTCCGCGGTCAGCCAAGTGTCCATGGCCTTGCAGATGCTGCAGATTTTGTCCAGGGCAGGAGCATGGTGGTCAGGCCAGCCAAAGTCCAACACCTGAGGAAGAAGGAAAGAGATCGCAGCGCAGATTGGTAGTAACACAATACACGAGAGAAGAGAGGAGAGAAGAAGAGAAGCTGTCGGCTTTACCTTTGGATTAAGTTGGCTGATGTCATAACGCTTCTCACTGAGGTTGAAGAGCTGAGGAAAAGGTAAAGAAGAGACAGAGGAGAAGAAATGTTTCAAGCCTGTGGTTCATTCTTCACTTTTACAAATATCAGCTTGCTTTTCTCAGGTTTTAAAAACCTGGCTCAGTAGCTTTGTGATGGTAAGGATGAATCAGGTATATCTTCATTACTGAAATGGTTTGGTAAGTGTTAAAGAATGGGTCACTGACTTCAGACAGAGGCACACAAAATTCTCATATTTGTGACATAATTAAAAAGTCAGCGGCAGATTTAACAAATAATTATTTAGTACATTGGTAAAGAAAAATGCTTTCAAAGACTGAAGCTAAACTGGTTGTAACTAGTTGATTATCTATATAGAAGACATGGAAATGAAAAAACAGCATTGTTCTTGTAATCCTGGGTAAATCAATTTTCAGCATAATACAATAATAAAGTTACTTTAAAAGGTAAAATTTGTGTTATTTGCATTTTAAATGTGTTCCCCTTATGCATGAGGAAAGACCAACTCTAACAGATACATAATCCCACAGCTATGTGAATGTGCATATGGCTGGAAGTGAAGAAAACCAGCTGACGATCGGCTGATCGGTGCAGCTGCTATGACTAAGTGTTCCCGTCTGATCCTTCACGCTTTGCTTCATTTATTTTGAAAGCTGATTACTATATTCCCTCCAGGATCGTCCAGATGTGCACAGGAAACCGTACCAGGTAGTTGTGACCGTGTTTGGAGCGCAGCATGGAGGCGACCTCCTGCAGGTTGGCGGTGTAGCTCTGCTCGTCCACGCTGCTGGGGAAAGAGACGGAGATGATCCTCTCTGTGATGTAGAGCAGGTCCAGCTCGTAGCTCTCCTCCAGGGCCTGCAGCAGACTGGCGCTCCTGTCGGAGACACAGAGAAGCGTTTTCCCTTCACTGCGGGTAACTTTCAAGGCTCATGCAGAACTGGGCAGTTTTGCATTTCAGTGGCCCCGCTGTGCAGAAACAAAACAACGGCTCGACAGAAAAAGATAGAAGAAATGTAATACTCAGGGTAATGCAGCACATGTGGTATCTACACACGCGACTGTGTTTACCAGACCAGCTGATGTGTGCTCTCTTAAACTATAACATACCAAGGACACATGAGCCAAAAGGCCTACTTTTGGTGGGACGCAGCTTTTATTTAATTTCTATTCAAGTTTAATATTTGTTTGTTATATGTTTATTAATTGTCTATTAATTGCCCATCTTTTTTCTAGCTGTGTCTATATCATGCATTTTAACATTTCTCATTTACAATGACTCAGGTATAAGTGATTCTCTTCTCTTAGGCTTTTTATGATTTTTTTTTTTATTTGATTGAACTTGAAGCATTGTTGATGATTTACATTGGAAAACACTAATTTCCTTTACAGAGCCATCACACAACACATGCATTAAGATAGAAATGCAGGTTAGTCTGAACATTAAAGTCTTAAACTCCTGACATTCCACATCCAAGAGCTACACTCAGTGTCCTTAATGGAGCAAAATACATTTGAGATTAAGTTCAAACTCAACTTAACATGAAGCAAATATCCTAATATGGAAAAAGCAGCACAGCACAGAAACACAACAATGACTGCTAACCCCAGAGGAGATCAAGTTTGTCTTCAAAATATAACCTCTCCCCTCTGCATTACACGAAGGAGAGGGAAAACAGTGAGGAGGTAATGATTAAGCTGATCAGACCAAGACGGGACTAAAGTATAAGTGCATCACAGACCGAACTGAACACGATGGTCATTGCAGAGTAGGTTTGGTAAGTTCTGGTGTCAAATCAGGTCAGAAAATATTAAAGGATATTCACACAGTGCTTCTCCGTGTGAATAGCAATTTTATTTCTATGCAAATGGCACAGCCATCAGGAGCGATTTAAAGTTCAGTACCTTGCCCAAGGACATTTCGGCACGCAGTATGGGAAAGACTGGAATCAAATTCGAATGAAACGCTCTGGCCCATAACCAACTGTTAAACTGCACCTTTAGAAATATTTCTTGACATTTTGGTTTTTGTATGGATCAAACTAACAGGATGTTAATCAGTGTCAGTTTTTTGTTTTGTTTTACCTTTAAACAGAGCCTGGCCACGTTTCCACAGTTTCACGTCTTTATGTGACGCTACGCTAACCAGCTGATGGCTGCCACTATATCTTTATCTAAAAAGCATGTGGTTTTGTAACGGGTCTGCTGAACTGTATTTAACTGTCTGTGATTGAACTCTGAGCTCTCCAGATTTAATTTTTTTTAACTTCTGTTTTCTTTGTAATCTATTTTCTTGAAAGAAGGACAATAATTCAATTTAGCCTAACTCACCTAACCTAACCTAACCAATCCTACTCTAGCACAACCTAATCTAACCTATCCTATTCTAACATCACATAAAGTAACCAATCCTATCCTTATTCATTCATTCTTTTCATATAAAACCTTCAAAACCCAGATGACGTGATGGCTGAACAGTTAAAGCACATTCCACATGGGCGCATACACCTTGAGAAGCTCTACTTCCCTTTATTATCAAATAAAGACTTAAAATGCCCGAAAAAAACCCAGAAGTCCCTTAAATCTAAACCTGCTTTGATTTCAACACCTCTCTCCTACTTTAGAAGCATTTCTCTAAGTGTCCCTGTGGGTCTTGTCTTCTTCAAGACTTCATTCCCACATGTCTACAGAGACAGTGAGGATATGAACAGAGGGGAATAACTAAACACAGAGGCTGAGATGAAGAGGTTAAGGGGAGGAGAGGGTGTCTGGACCCTCAGCCCCCAGACGGCAGCATATTTCCCACATTTGTCAGCAGTGAGTAGCCCCTAAAGGAAATTGCTCATATGTCTGGGAGAGAGGATGGCCTCAGCCTTACCATACAAACACTGTAACCTGCTCTGTACAGTACATCTGGACCCACTCAAAACATGCTCACTGAACGTTATCCAGGACTAGAGATAGAGAGAGAAACTCATATTCCACACGTGTTCTCTCTCATGTGTCACGTTTAATATCTAACTTTTGCATTTTGCTGAAGAATGTGTTTTCTTATGTGTGGAATTGGCAAAAACATTTGACTTTGTTTTCATTGTTTCCTCAACCTGAATCTCCCTGGTGTGTTCTCTCCTTTTTTCATTGATCTCAGTATTTCTTAATATTTCTCTTTCTCGTCTGTCTCTCTCTCAGCCTCACTCTTTCCATTTTCCTGTCCATCTCTGCATGTATATATCCTTTGCCCCTGGGTGCAGTCTGGGCCAACATAGACCAGTGGTTTGGTTCTGTTCCAGATCCACCAGCATGTGCTGACCGGCTGAGCTCCAACCTGCTCCACATCAGCTGAAGAGATGAAGCGATTGCCCTTTTTCTGCATATCGCATTTGACGAATGATGCATTATCTCATCACGCTCAATTTGAGCGCTGCAGTGATCTCGTTGGAGAATTTGGAAGAGAACCAACTGTGAAGCAGGAATGTTTTATCAGGAAACCTGAGACGGTAGGCTGTGAAGAAATCCTGCCAGATATTTCTAAAAAAGAAAATATTCCATAGTAATAAAAAGAAACAACTAAGACTTTGTCTCTATTGTTTACAATACTGAGAATACTATTTGATCCAGGCTTGTGATCAAACTTGTTTCTGATGGGTGAATACCAATAGTTTCTCATGAAACTTTATTGCTTTAAATTTGATTTTTATGAGAACAATTTATCAAACAAACGTATGACTTTATGATTTTTCCAGCACAAACACCTTGTGTGCTTTGTCACTTTGGATTTGAGTAACCTCATATACTGTATATTCATATTTCTATTGCGTACAACAGTTGAGTAATGTGAAAGGGATTGCTCTTGGTGACAAACCCACAGAGAATTATCACCCCACTCCAAGCTTTCAGCCCTTTTTTATTGATTTTGATTTTCCAGCCCACAACAACTTTATTAAGATGACTAAAATGTCACAGTTATGTTTACAGCTTGTTGTGCTGCCGCTAAACGGCCAATGAAAGATTTGATGCAGTTTAAAGACATAAGCTTAGCCAGACCCTCTGGAAACCAAATCTTACATCTTAAGTTTAAGAGTTCTCTCATGAGAGCAAATGTATTTGCTTGAATGTCTGAATATCACCTTGCTCCTTCAACTAAAGCCTCTTTCCCTCTCTTCGAAAAACCCATTAACAACATCTGGCTTTTATCTGCTATGGGAAATACATTTAGTTATCACTCTGTAGTAGACACAGGTTTTTATCAACGGTGATGATACATCACACTCGGGTGAACATGCTAATTCCTTATACCTAATTTTGGCGGTTTAGACGCTGGCGCTGCACTTTGTCTGTGTGAGGTTTACGTCTAAACGCTCTTTCAGTGTTCCCTGACATGAATTTGATAGTACAAGTCTAACAAGGCGTTAAACTTCACATTGCACACAAACACTGTTTAGATACATAGGATCTATGTCTTTGTTAATAAGCCTGACTGGATCTACTAGATTGATGGGACTTCATTCAGCCTCAGCATTTCATAAGAGACAAGCAATCATATGACTGTTACTCAGCTTTAAAAAGACTTTAACTGACTGTAATCCAATCACTGAATGAACTCACACATAGTTTGTGTACATGATGTTTTTATGACCATGTATCAACTCTTCAGTTTACTGTGAGCAAATCAACCTGTCACTCAAGCTTAGCGTAGCGCTCCAACATGAGCTGTTGTGGGGTCGGGTTTTACAGATTAATTACACAACTGGCAACATCTGTGGCTCCCTACGGACTGAGGTGAGTGGGGTCGACACCAAATATCTTTTTGTCCAACAAAACAGTGTGAGTTCCAGTTCAATGGCAGGGCATGTTGCTTTAATTATGCCTCTGATAAGAAATAAAAAAGCAAACATCCTCTTACATCCAAACTTTTATTTTAAATAGTGAATATTTCAGGACGGAATGTGACAGAAGATGGAAAAGGTTTGCTTGATTTTTTTTTTTTCACCTCCATTATCTTTCAGAACGTTTGGCAAAAAGAAGAGGAAAGGATAAGAAAAGAGGAGAGGAGAGGAGCTCCTACCTTGATGGTCTGCGCCGTGACTCCATGCTCTTTGTGGATTTTGTTGAGCCCTGAAAAACACAAAGAGCTTCATCATTGTCTTGCACAATATTTAATCACTAGAGTGGCACTTAGTAGAGCACATACATCCACCAAGCCCCAACTATCCCCTTAAATTTAATGAAGCTGGGCCAATTTGCACACACTTATAATCAGATCTCCAAATATGCCCAAACATTTTTTTAATGTAGATCTCTGAATTATTTCTTGACAAAAATCACAAACATAAAAAACCCATAACTTTCTTTAGCAGAGGTGAAAGTAAATAATAATACAAATATCAAATAAAGTCCATTATGTCACCAGAATTGATAGTGGATTTAGTCACAGTATCACTGTGCAGTGAAGAGCAGTAAAGATCTTTGACTGGGGTCACCACACAGGTTCAGTCTTGTTTCTGTAGTTGAATCTGAAGAATTGAACATTTGGCAGATCGCTAAATGAAATAAATACATTTCTGAAGGTTTCGATGTTTTATGTAGGAGTTGTGAAAGTCATGCAGAGTGCGTGGGAAATGTTTGACAGAGCAGGACTCAGTACAGCTGCAGTGAGCCTGAAGGTAAACTCATGTATGAACCAACTTGCTCCAGTGCTCTAATACAATATAACAGGCACCCTTAACTAAACCCACAGAGACAAATTCTGATTATTGCTCCACTCCACATCTTCAGGCGCTTTATCGGCAGTGCACAAAATGTGCAATGAACCTCGGGATGCGGTGTCTTACACGAAGCTGTGCGGTGCCATGTGAGCACTCTGACAAAGCGAAGCAGAGAGGCCCTCACAGAGGAAGTGTGGCTGAAGGTGATTGACTGTGTTTGGCTCCACTAAGCCTGGCCTGACTTGCCTCCCCCTCAGACCAGCTCGAGGAGGGGGTCAAAGGCCATGTGGACTTGTTCACTCCCCTGTGGTGTTTGGGTCACATGTACGCAGGAGGGGGCTGTTATCCATCATCATCCATTAGATCAGACTGGTTGGCTAACCACCAGTGTCAAGAGCGCCGCTCGCTCGCTATCCGTGAGTTTCAGTCTGCGCTGCTCTCCTGACTATATGTCGGTGTGCAATATTTGTGAGTAGTTAATTATGTAGGTGGGCTTGTTAATGAGTACATTTCAGTACAAAATTAATAAAACAAAATCACCCAAATATAATACAATTGCAGATACTCCCCATAATCTAAATCTTTAGTTTTTGGTTTTATATCAGAAACTCTTCAGTTTTGATAACTTATCAATTTGTAAATTTTGTCAGAGCAATACACAAAGAGTAAAGGTTTGTGGATCAAGTTGAGGAAACAGAAGTCCAGTAATTGAAACCAGACTATTATCTTCGATAATGTGTGGGTGGGGCAACAGGGAGGCTATTTAAACTGTTGCTGTGGTCGTATCTGGCCCCATGTAGCACTGCCTGTGTTGGGGGGGGAAGCAAAGTCAGACCCTCTGTTTAGAGGAGGTTTCCTGATGCTTGATTTCAACTTGTTTTGTAATTGGATCAAGTGATGGGTAAGGAGGTGCACGTTTTTCTACGGTTTACTGAAATTGTACTGATTAAAATAAACAAATTTTGATCGAAATTGCAGAGCGCCTGTTTAAAATGGGCTTTAATGAGTCCTCCTCAAACAGTTCTACTATAAACTGATCCTTTTTGTTGTTTGTGTGCTGGATGTCGTGTGCAGAGCTTTTTATAAACAGTCTATGGTGAAGAGTGAAGTTTGCGTTCATCCTACCTGGTTTATCTGCAGCGAAGATTTTTTGTTTTGTTTCTTAAATGAAACTGAATTTGCTTTATTACTGTTAACATGTGTGGTTTATACATACGTTTAAATGATTTACTGAACTACTGATATTTTTTCATCTCTGTTGAGCATCAACACAATCTTCAGACCCAAGTTCATTTCAAAGCTTTGTCATTCAGTTCGATATAAAGCATTACAGCACAAAACAAACATGCTTTTACTTCAATGACAACTTGCATGAAGGGATCAGCGTACTCCACACTGCACTTCCTCAGGCAATTCACAATACACATGCCAAGTGTAAGGCCAATAGAATGAATGGTTCTCGAGATACATGTTCCACATACAGATTGTGGAATAAGTAGGTAGATGAACACATATGAGCACACACTCAGACATATATTAATTCAACAATATATCCCAGGGTTCTTCTCTTTTTCCACTTCCACAAAATCTATGCAATTTTCTCCCATTATGAGCATTCACATGAGTCCGTTCGTGAACTAAGGTGACACGACCCTAATCCCCCCATTTCTGTCTTTGTTTTGGTCTAAACATTTCAGTGGGTTGCAAGGGACGATAAAGTTCACTAAGTATAACCAGAGGAGGACAGAGATGAATGAGTAAGAAAAGGATTAAAAAGACGAATCCAGAGACAGACACAGAGCACAAGGACGACTGAGACTGCTTGTGCTGAGAGGTGCAGGACGTCTTATTGTGCATCAGGAAACAAAACTTTAAGGTTATCATGTTTGAGAAATGCTGGTCAGGAGATACCAAGATGATATGGTGCCACCATCTTAACCAGCACACATGAAAAATAGCAGCATCTTAATTAGAGACTGGAAGAGCACAAACAGTTCAGGGGGGGACTGTGCTGCAAAGTTAATCCAGACCTTTTCTCTTCACATTACTCTGAGTTGTTGTGCTCGGGACTTCATGAGCCACAGTATTTGTGTTAGAGTGCAACCATACGAGTAAATGAAAGCAGCGCAACAAAGCTCCAGTCAGAAATAAGACAGTAACTTTCCCTGTGGTCACAGTTTTTTTTCATTAAAGTGGTTTCATTAAAAGACATTATGTTCAAGTAGCAGGATTCTATAAACTCTAAAGCGTTACACTGATGTGAATCATGAGTTGAGTGTCCATTTTTAAAACGAACCACAACAAGCAACAGAGGAAAATCATGAATCATATTTGTCTGGATCAGTAATCGAGAGCAGCAGACCAACTTTGGAGACATAAGCTCCTGAACACCTCGCAGTCCGCATCCTAAAGCCTGTTTCTCTCCTCTGAGAACTTGCAATGGGTGGGAGGAGGGGGGAACTGGAGTGGGGGGTCCCGCAGGCCTGTTTCCAGATGAAAACCATCTGGGGAGGTTGACTTTACAAGCAGGCCATACAAATTAACCATCTGAGAGAGAACGAGGGAGGGAGGGAGGGAGGGAGGGAGGGAGGGAGGAAAGGCAGAAGAAGTTGGGGGCTGGTAGAAATCTGAGAGAAAAACTATTCTATGGCAGAACAAACACAAGCAGTGAAGGAGCGGACAAGAAAAGTAGAAGCTACATGACCCGTGATGACTAGTTTCCAGGGGACCGTCCAGTCATAAGGCTCTACATCCATTCATCCATCCATCCTCCACTTCGTCCTACCTTCCTGAAAAGGTAACCCGTACTCCATCGCCATGCCCCCCTCAAAGAGGAGAGTCGCCTTCTTAAAGACCCTCCCCGGTTCATCTCTGGAGAGGTCCCTACGTCTCTCACTGCTTTGTGTCCGGCAGTGAAGTTTCTCCTGTGGAACCTCTCCCTTTTCTCTGACAGCGGAGGAGGAGAAGCGGAAGAAGAAGAAGAAAAAAAACAACGAGGGCTCTATTTTGGACCGTTGCCTGCAGAGGGCCACTCCATGCTCCCGCTCAGACCAGTCTCCTCCACAGCGCTCCTCGTATAGTCCCTCTGTTCACTCCCTTTCTTCTCTCTCTCTCCTTCTTTCCCTCTCCGTCTGTGTGTACTGCCCCCCCCCTTTCTTAGTCTGCCTCCCATCACGTTATCTCTCACCCTCGAATTCAACTTTTCCCTCCCTCCTTCTCTTTTTTCCCCCCATGTACGGATCTAAATCTGCATCTGCTAACCCGTTCTGACCCTTTAGGCAAACATGGGGTTAAATGCATGTTTGTACACACAAACACGTGCACATATACAATCAGCAAACTGTAGCTCTACACCACTTCAGGTCTAACATAAAGTCTGCTTTTTACTTTTTTACTTTTTTAATGTGAATCCATTCTGACTTTAAAAAAGAATCGATGACTTTACACATAATGTGCATTTTTGTCTATTTTCTGCCATTTTCTCAGGTTTCAGTTTTTAATTCGACATGTTGATGAATCATTCAGACCAACTACTGTGTGAAGGAGCTCCGTCCTACAAAAGTTGATTTATTATTATTTATTGTGTTGCTTCTTTAACTAACCATCCTCCGATGTCGACGCTAATCAACAGTAAACAAATTCATCAGTCAAGAAGTCCAAGCAGCAAAGTAGAATCTGAACCAGTGAAGCAAGAGGAACTCATGTAGTCATAAGACTAATCTTTTTGATGTTCCGAGGCGATGAGGCGTGGCACATATCTCCCAGACGTCACAGTGTAAACACACTGCAAATACCCATGACCAGACAGTAGCAGCTGCACACACCCACACCCACACATGCATATACATGCATATACACTTTGCTCTGCATAATGCATTATGTACAGACGTGATCTGAGTTAAGGTGCAGACCACAATTATAACTTGAGGAAAAACTTGACAGTGAGACGTGAGACTGCAACTCTTGTCTCAAATGAGGCTCCTTTCTATTTGTCTGAAGACAGAGAGACAAGGAAATGTCACACACACACACTTTCTCTCTCGCTGTCTTTCTCTCAGTCACTCAAACACACACACACACACACACACACACANCACACACACACACACACACACACACACACACACACACACACACACACACACACACACACACACACACACACACACACACACTGGTGCTTTTGTGTTTATTTTGGTCCTTGTGGAGAAAGTGGGAACTTGGCTTCGGGTGATAACTCTAAATTGGTTACTTGAGCCTTCCTTTCCCAGACAAAATACAACTCACAGGAACTTGTGTCATGGACAACTAGAGCCAAGTGAACACAAGCCAAACAAGTATGTACTAACTTTCTTGGTACGTTGACCTAACATGTACAACATGTGTTGATGAAAACTATTGTATTTCATTTTAATCATTATTTCCCCAAAAAACAAGGTTGTTGTTGATATGTGTCTCTATTGTAAACATTGAGATCTGACTAAGATCTGACATCAAAATTAAATCAAAATTATAAACTTGGTCTCGTCAGTTCATTAATGAGGGTCTTGAATATTGTCTACTATTGAATGGCTGCTGACAGCTTAGCTGCTGCTACCTTGGTTGTTTCGAAAATATCACACATGATATTGACAACATATTTACATCAAGCCTTCTGTTGAATGTGGTCACAATGTGTCTCTGTTTCCCCTGTATTTCAATTTTATATTAAAGATATTTTAGTCCCTTTTTGGACGTAAGGAACAGTGCGAGCATGAAATGGGGAGAGAGAATGCAAAGTAAAGGGTTGTTTCGCTGTTGAACCTGTGGCCACTGCAGGAGGTCTTTAGCTTTCATATGAGGGGCAAGTGGGCACCGCTTCACCCGTACTTGTGCTCAAGCTCTACAATATTATCATCCAAAACCCATTTTAATGCAGGTGTGAAATGTCTGTCAAGAATTAAAGAAATTTCAGTTTGATACTATGTGAAACATCTGCATCCAGACATTAAACCTACCTGTATACCTGAGTGCACGGCCAGAGGCACAAACTAAAAGCTTTGCGTCACATTATATTGCCCTGTGAAACATTTCAGCTCCGTCTAGTTTGTAATGATACAATTTGAGTTCAAGACAGTTTGATCAGTCAGTCATCACCAGGTTTAAAAAGCTGAATGTTTGGAGTGAACACTGAGCAGCCAATAGCTTCAAATGCCAAACAAACTGTGGACAGTCCACACTCAATGATTTGTAGATTCTGGAACTGTAAAGGCTGATCCATAAAGCATATTGACAACTTCAGCTATTTAAAATTTCACCATATGTGCGATATAAAAGACGTCAAAGTAGAAATAGTTGTGGTTTATGACAGCTGGATATTTCTGTGTACTCGTAAGTAATACCTTATTCATCTGCGTCTGTAGCCCAGCCACAGATGAATGGGCTTCTTTAGCCCAGTAACTGAGAGGTCTGTGAGTGACATGCAGAAGAAAAACAAAGTTGACACTCACCATGGTGTCTACATGTTTGAGAGGGAGGTCACTGCTCGGCGCCTGTTTACAAAAGACAAAGACAGAAAGAGGTAGAAGGTGAGATCAGTACCTGCAACACATCATACCTCAAACTCTCAGCACATATGTTTTTTTTAAGTCGTGTCACATCATCTCATGTCGTCCTATCTCATCTCGTGTTGTGTTAAAGCTGCACTCAGCACCATTCTTTGCCCTAATGTGGCCCGCAGCAGAGTGGGACTCCACCTTGAATGCGTGGGACCATCTATAACCCCTCTGTGCAAATATTTACACAAAGAGACAGCTCTGCTTCCATTAGCCAGGACCAGAGAGTCCATCCGTGGAGCTCCTCTCTTTTTCAACGCCATATACAGTTATGGATGGAGAGAGAGGGCGAGAGGAGCAGGCCAACAGAGACCGATGGGGGAGAGAGAGAAAAGGGACAGATCAGGACACTAAGAGAGGAGGGAGAAAGAGATGAAAAGGGGGAATTTAGAGGAGGGAAGGGACAGTTAGAAAAGGCGGGGAGGGACATAAAAGCAGACAGCAGAAGGGAAGGTCGGCTATGGAGGGAGAAAGATGAAAGCACGAGTCAACGTTTCCCAGTGGGGAACAGAAGAAAAAACCATCAGAGAGATCCATGATGTCATGAGCTTGTGTGGGCTTGGCCAACCTCAGGCTAACACACACAGATGTTACGTCCTAAATGAAGCAGAAACATTCAGTCTGAGCAGTGTCAGACACACCAGTCATCACTGTATGGAGTATATATATGGAGTCTGAGGGCACTATTATTTATAGTCACAAATCTGTACATTGTACACAACAAATGACTCCATCCTGAATGACAGGGCTGTACTGAGTATAATCCAGCCCTGGGCCTTGTGATGGAGAGGCCTTTTCTGCGACTGTTGCCATTGTTTTCCACCAAAAATGCCCTGAGCTGTCTCTGTACCACAAAAACCTGATGGAAACTCCCCCGATCAGCACCGTTGAGCCTGTCAGATTCCAGCAAAGATGAGGATCCTTCCAAATTTGGAGGGACCGCTCATACCCACCCCTCAATATTGAAAGTATTGTACTGGCCCAGTCAGACAGCCACAGACAGCATTCCACTGATGCTGCGAGAGTACAGCCGGCTGGTCCATGCCACAGCCACGGAACATACAAAAACTGACTTCGGGAGTGTTCACAAAGCCCGTCACTGCTGAATGACCAAAGACAGAGTGTGTAGAGTTGGAGTTGGAGATTCTGTGGTCCGTGTTCTGGTCCTGGTGGATCTCTCTGCTGCTATAGAGCAGAAGTGGAGTATCATGGAGGAATTGAGTAACTGCCTGCACCTCGGGCTGGGCGATCACATAATGAAGTTATTCATCGATGATGTCCGATCATGAATCTGGATCATTCTGGTCACTTTCACACTGATGTCCTGGCAGTGTGGGTCACCCTATGTCTTGTGTTGTGTTAAAAGTATGCGAGTAAAAAAATATTTTCAGTGTTTAAATACGTGTTTCGTAAGCAAATCAAACACAAAGTAAACTTCAGGTCCTGTTGCCAACATGTCCTAATAACTTCTGATTAGTGATGGTGTTTATTGGTAACGTGTAATGTGAGCGCAGGTTGGCGGGGGAGTGAGGAGGGAGGACATGCAGCAGGGTGATACAGCACGAAATTTAGCATAAACCCGACACTTCATGAATGCACTGGGGAAACTATTAACAGAATTAAGCGACATGAGCTAAAGAAGGTCAGTTAGAGGTTATAAATGTCGGTATTGATACATTTTTGGTTAATTTCCCAGCCCAAGTAAGGGTCACACCCTTTGGAACTTTAACATTTTCTGGCAAAACCACCACAACATTCCCCAAAACATGTCTGCATGTTACTGACTGTGTGACAACTTACATTTTCATTTTAAACATACTATTTCCAAAGTATTTGTTTCCATAATATCATCAGGAAGTACGGCTGCTTTCTATTGGCTGCTCCCATTCTCTCAGCTGTGGTATCATGGTTTTTGCTGATGCCCACCTTGGGAACATGCACAACTAAAATGGACCAGAGAGCAGTTCTATTCATTAATCAAAAAAGGAATAAACATTCAAATCTTCATATTGAATACAATTTCAACTGAAGTATGTCAGTGCAGCCCTCACACTAAAGGTTTGTCACATGCTGAATTGATTCCAGCCATGTACCAGGTTTTACCAATACTGACCAAAAACAGCCTTTATATTTTTGTTGTGTTGAAAATATGTTAAAAAAAATTTAAAGCTCAAGTTATATGAAAACAGGAATCTGATTCTATCCTATATCTGTATTCTATTCTATAGCCCCAAGAAAAGGCAGAAAATATTAAGTCCATGTCTCCAAACTTTAGGACCTGTCTACCCCTTGCTAGGGCTCATTCGTTCTCACAAGGGACAAACCTGTTTAAAAATGAGTCATGAGTAAGCAGTGTTATTTCTAAAAAGACAAAAAAAATTCATAAAACAGCTGGGTACTTCTGATGCTTACTCAAAAAGGAGGAAATACATTGGGGGCTATCTTCCGCAGCAGATCAGTGCCCATTTAGTGAACTAAGTAATGAGGAGACGTGTCACCCACTGCTACAGTGTGGCTAGTGGATCTGTTTGGACCTCTGTGGTGCAGAATAATGAGACATTTCAGGCTCTGCATACACAGATAGAACATGTTAGTGGGATCAGTCCATTGTTCACTTTGGTCTTTTCATGAGATCTAATGAGGAACAAAGATCACCATATAACAGCTACACAACAGAACAACCAAGATTTGTGGACTGTCCCAGACAGAGAGCTGGGCAGTGACACCACGGATGCTCTGCTTCCACAGAAAGCTGCAGTAGAACATAAACAGTAAATGCAAAGGGTAAATTATAGTCTGGGTGTGCAGGCCCCAGAATACAGAGTGCAAAAGACCAGACTAAACCACCAACCAGGGGAGGAGTGAGGAACCCAAGAATAATCCAATATCAAACTTCAGCAGTGGCATACACCTACATACAGTGGTACATACAAAACACCCAAATGTGAAGAGCAAAGCGGGTGTCATTCATAGTTTGATACAAAGATCTACACATTCTCTCTCTACCTGGCAGGTGTGATTTTGTGTTGTTGTTGTACATCCGACACATGGAAGACAGCAGGGCTGCCTCCAGGAATGAAGGAAGAGGAAACAGCAGGCTGATTTTTGAGGCTCAGACTGTGGATGTTCTGAGGCCACAGTTGCAGCCGCAGGCATTTTCACACAAATAGAGCCTATTGTGCGAATGCCAGAGAAAAAAAACACACAGACACAAACAGTTCTGACATGCGTTTCTTCCGCTTTGTGCAATTGCAGCCAGGTGGATATGTGTGTGTGCGTGTAACTAATTTACAAAGCAAGAGAAAGACTGGGAAGTTGTGCATCAGCACAGAGGCTGGCTGTGATATCAAAGACTTTTTCTAGAGCAAGGAACAGGCTTTGCTTTAATAATAATCAAACAGTTTAAATCAGCAGGACAACATCTTTTCTAACCTTGAATTTGTTGTGTCACAGTGACTACACCCAAGCAGCCAGAACTGTGCTCAGAGTAAAGATAGGGCACTGTGTTTACGTCCAGCTGAGAAACAAAACCAGACAATATCACGGAGCTCTAAATTTAAAGTCATGATGCTGGATTTGAAGCTGAACAGTGGCAGATGGTTAAGCACTGCAGAATCCTGAATCGTCATTTGATGCAGAGTCTTGCAACTTCATAACTGTCTGTTCTATAGATGAACATCTCAGAATGCCTGCATTGTGAGCGCACTGTGGCCACACAACCACTGAGCAGATTGTAGACGACTCAAACAACACGAAGATGATCATGAACGTAAAAAAAGTACAGACGAATAAAAGGATCATTGTTCTGTAATCAAGAGCTTTACACAGCCTTTGGACATGAATCTAATGGTCATAATGCACTTGTTATAATGCCTGATATACATTTTATTACTCCAAATTTGGGCAAAAAAAAAAAATGATAATAATAATAATATCCATAGTGTACAGTCAGATTTTCTGACTTCCTGGCACATCCCGAGCTCACAGTCATCCCCTCTCAGCCAAGTCAGCTGAGCGTCATGTTGCATCTGTTCTCGCAGTAGTTAAATACAGGCTGTTGATCTCCAGTGTGGTGGAAAAACAGTAACAGACACAGTGAGATAAAAAGTTGCTTTTAAGGAAATCGAGTTGACAGAGCGACAACATCTGGGAGGCTGCAGTGATGCAGTTAATCAATTCCAGTGATACAGATAAACAGATGCTGACATCTGCATCCTTCATCCCTCATCATCGACTGACCTGCTCGGCTGTTTTAAAGCTTCTGCCAGTGGTCTTCTGATCATGTGATGAGCTACTGAGTCCAGATTGGTTGAAGAGAAAAACCTACGTCTATAAAAGCCTCACGTTCTTATCCTCATAACTTTGTCCATCATTTGTACCAGTTACAAAAACACTGAACTCAGGCAGGTAACTGAACAATCGCTGCAGTGACACAGAAAGAATCATTACACCCAAACATGCTCACTGTTTGATTTGAATTCATCTCACACTCTCAAGTCTCGACCTATGACTAATACTAACGTTACTGAAGTATTTCCTGAAACGGTCACTGGCTCATTTTTCCTATAGAGAGGTGCAGGATGTTATTGTTGGAGACTTCAGATGTAATGGGACTCCATGTAAGACCAGTCTTTATCCATACATGGACTTTACAAATGAATCTTTTGCTGTTATAGTATATATTCTATTTATACATTTCAGAGCACATCCAGATAAATGGGCGGATCATGGAATTATTTTTACTTTCTTTTAACATGGTACGTTAGCTATGGTGGAGGTATCTGCTCTCTGAGGTCCACAGATGTTTACACGTAGATGGAAGTATGTCATACATGCAGCTATCTTATTCATGAGGTTTGTTGTTATAGTATTTAGTCAACTTTAATTTAAAGCTGTAAGTCATCCACAAGGGTTCAGACACTGAGAAAGGCCTATTT